GTCGATGACGACGCTCGCCCCCAGCTGCGCTAGAGCTGCAGCCTTGCCAGATGGTCCAAGTGAGGACAACGTCTCCAAACGGAGGGGTGCCCAAACCGTCGATGGAGTCGTTGCAAACGCGGGTGAACTGGGTGGCAAGCCGAAGGGTGCTCTCCCGTGTTTCACGGGCTTGACAGTAACTCACGATACGAAATTGGATAGGAAAATGGTTTCGGTACAGCTTTGCTAGCGTCCGAAATAACCAATCCTTTGGCGCACCGTCGGGCTCGATGGCAATATCGAGCGTGTTATGCCAGTCAAGGCAGGCGATGATCGGCTCCCTGGCGTCAGGTTGAGGTATGCCGAAATCGGGTGTTCCGTCACCGGAGGGTGCTGCTGCACTTGGGGGCTGCTTGACCGGCAATTTGGGTGCCGGGGCAGCCTTGAACCTCACCTGTGGTGGTGGTGAGGGTGGCGCCCGCTTGTAGGCTTTGGGCGGCGTCTCAGGCCGTTTTACCCCGCTAATCGATCTTGGAACCGACGCTGCGCGTTGAGCTGCAGCCCTTGGCCCTGGTGCTGGGGGTGCTGGTGGTGCTCTCAGCGGTGGTGGGGGTATGGCCTTTGACGCAGCGCGATCCGCAGCTGCCTGGTCAATTACGCCTTGTGGGGGCGCTTTGACCTTGGCTTCCCGCTTGGTAAAAACTATCCGAGCGGTCTTTGTTGCGGGTGCTGTGGATGAGTCGCGCCCGGCAGGTGCAGGCCTCTTGATGCTGACCTGCTCAGCCTCGTACACCCTGTCCGGGTTGAAGGCCGCCAAGCCTGAGTAAACCTCACGCGCGGACCTTTCGGGCGGCGGTGAGGCACTCAGGTCAAAATGTTCGGCCCTCCCGTGTCCTCTGGGAGGGTTGCTTGAGGACCCTGACCTCGGCGGATGATGCCAATACGAGTCTGAGGGTACCGGGTGTGGCGCCCGACGCGTGGGTCGTGAGCCTCCCTCGTATCGGTGCTGGAGGACCCAGATTCCCGTGCTGTCCACCCGAGTGGTCGGGTAGGCGCAGTTGGCCGGCGCCAAGATCAGCGGCCGGCTGCTCAGGGATGCACGGGCCGGAGGTGTTGGGGAGCTGTGGCTCCTGGTCCTCGACCTCGCTGCGCTTGGAGCTGCAGCCCTGAGGGGAGTTCTGGATCGTGGGCGTCGGGTTGACGCCTTCCGCACCGGTGGAGGAGAAGGCTGTCGCCTTGTCGGTGGCGTCCTCTTCCTAGGCGGAAAGGATGACGGTCGGGACGGGCTCTCAGAGCTGGTCCTTGTGGGAACCGCTGCGCTTGGAGCTGCAGCCTGATCTCCCGGCCCTGCTGCTGCCTGTGTCGGAGCTGCGCTTGTAGCTGCAGCCTTGATTGTGGACACAGTTGTGGTGGAGGATGGACTTGATGGGGTGCTTGGTTGTTGCTGAGGCTGGGCTGGTACTGGAGCTGGAGGCTGCCCTGCCGCGCCTTGAGCTGCGGCCTGTGCCCGTTGTAGGATTGGGATCGGTTGGTGTCGGCCTCGGGCGATGACGGCGTCGTAGAGGTCGGGGTAGGGGTCTCGCAGATGCCGATAAGCGTTATCGGAAAAATCTGCTTGCCACGCCAGGAGGGAGCTCCGGTGCAAATCCGATGCCTCCTCCCAGGCGACCCTTGTCACCCCAACCTTGAACTCCCGCCAGGCCCACCGGGTGAGCTCGTCGAAGGCCTCGTAGTAGAGCTTGCGACGATGCGTCCACCCGCCCCTCTGACCACGGGCCGAGAAGGCCGGTGCCGGGTCCATGCACGAAGTGCGCTGACTACCGGACTGAGGGGGCCTAATCCCAAAAAGCAGTTACGGCTGATAACCACTCAACAGGGAAAGAAACACAGCGAACCAGAAACCGGGACCCTTATTAACCCCAGTCCGGTAGGCGAGCGCAAACCCTGGTTTTGATCTGATGGGCATCCTTGAGCCAAATGGTCATTGCCATTCGACATGTCACTTGAAGCACATGCAGTCAATGGGGCCTCTAACATCACATGCATGCACACCCTTCTGGGGTACCTCTTTGGGGGTCAAGGGGTCGTGATTATTCAACTAACACACACACAAACACACACACACACACACAAACACACACAAACACACACAAACACACACACACAAACACACACACACACACACACACACACACACACACACACACACACACACACACACACACACACACACACACACACACACACACACACACACACACACACACACACACACACACACACACACACACACACACACCACACACACAAACACCCACACACACACTCAACACAAACACAAACACAAACACAAACACCAAACACAAACACAAAACAAACACAAACTCAAACACAAACCAAAACACAACCCCAAACACAAACACAAACACAAACACAAACACAAACACAAACACAACAACACACACACAAAACACAAACACAACATCAAAACACAAACACAAAACCAAACACAAACAAAACACAAACACACAAACACACCACACACAGACACCACACACACAGACACCACCCACACAGCACACACACACAAAACACACACAAACACACACACACAACACACACACACACAAAACACACACACAACAAACCCACACCCACACACACACCACACACACACCACACACACACACTCCAAAACACACAAAACACAAACAACAAACACACAAACACACAAACACACACAAACAACACAAACCACACACATAACCACAAACACACCACAACCACAACCACAACCACAACCACAACCACAACCACAACCACAACCACAACCACAACCACAACCACAACCACAACCACAACCACAACCACAACCACAACCACAACCACAACCACAACCACAACCACAACCACAACCACAACCACAACCACAACCACAACCACAACCACAACCACAACCACAACCACAACCACAACCACAACCACAACCACAACCACAACCACAACCACAACAACACAACAACAACAACAACAACAACAACAACAACAACACAACCACAACCACAACCACAACCACAACCACAACCACAACCACAACCACAACCACAACCACAACCACAACCACAACCACAACCACAACCACAACCACGCACACACACCCCACACACACACACATTCTAGTAAACAGCATGAGGCAGACACAGAGACATACACACACACAAACACGCACAAAGACACACAGACACAAACACAGAGACACATACACACAGAGAATCAGAGACAACACAGAGACAAGCCGCGACAAGCCAAGACACACAGAGACACACACACACACACAGACACAGACACACCACAAACGCACGAACACACAAATACAGAGACACAGACACAAAATGACACACACACATTCTGTTTGTTTCAAAAAAATGAGACCCGGACCCCACCCAAGTTTGCAGTGAATCATGTCAGGTGACTAACTGCGCTCTTCTGCTTTCCCTGCTCTGTGACCCACTGCCTTCTTGGAGCCGATGTGCTCGCGTGGCTGGGTGGCGCCGTAGCCTCGTGTGTTCTGTTGACTGTCTGTACTAGCCACTTGCGCCCTGGTGTGCAGCCCTTTCGCTACTGTTGACCCCAAATGAATCAACCCCTGTTTATTGAATAGCCAGGGGTCCCTGGGTGACATGTGAAGACACATCAGTTTTGGAGAGGAACACCCCCAGATTCATAAGCTGGGTTGATTGAAATTGGGTCAACATGTGCTGGCCCGATGGCATCAGCTTCCAGCGTGCAAGCTCTGAGGCCCTGGCAACTGGCGGGGCCGCCGCTATGAACGCCAAAGGCGCTGCGTCCTCGGCGATGCCCACAGCTTTTGATCATTTGTGCGAACAAGCAGACCTATATCTTCAAGCAAGAACATGTAGACACACGGAAACTGAATACCAACAGGGTACCCAAACTGGAATGAGTCATGACTTCGCACATTCACATTCCGCGCAACGTGATTGGTGCACTGCCGAAATGTGGCCGGGTGGGGGGAGTCGTGCCCCCGAAAATTCCAGGGGTACAATAGTACAACCCCACAGGCACACGAGAGTTGAAGCTGTCCTGGGCGCTAATGTCAGCAAGCACCTAAATAAACATCTTTTCTGACAGGTTGTCATGGAATGCCTTAGGGCCAATGAAGCTTTACGAGCCGGCCTTGGGAGCCCCCTTCCACCAACCATGCCTCAGCCCCTTCAATCCGAGTGTCCAATGCCATGTCGCAGAAGGCTCCAGCGGCGCAAGTGGGAAGATGCTCGAGCACGGTGCACGGGCGCACGGGCATGAAATTCAGACCAAACTCCACATGCTTTCCGAGTTTCCGGGGCTCATGCCCCCCCCCAAAAAAAAGCTCGGCTGGGAAGAGCCAAATGGAAGCCCCAAAACCGAAAACGGGCTTCAGCTTCCCCAACTTCCCTTCGTAACCCTCAAGTCTGCCCCTTGGTTTTTGGCACGTAGCCCGCCTCAGCAGCGTTTTATCGCACCGGTTTCACGTGCTTCCCAAAGAACACACAGCTTGGCTTCTGTTGGGTCCTTTTCAAGAACGATCAATGCCAGACTCGCCATTTTGAGACGCTTGGAAACGGAGGAAAAGAAGCGAGTGAAGTGGTTGGGATGTCCTGCGGGTCTGCGGATGTCCCTCCCTCGCCCCGGTCCATTTGTTTCACAAAGCAACAGATTGTCATTGCCAGGGTGGTCGACATATCTCTACGGCCCTTGGCTAAAAAGGACCACCCACATGGCTCAGAGCTCGAGCCATGGACATGACTGGAGCCGAAGGATGGATGAGATCGGACGCTGAGATCGGACCTTGCAAAGACGTCACGAACTGGCCACCTGAAGCTCGTTTCCCTTCAAGAGTGCAAGGCGGCTGCAGCACGTCATTTTCACAATTGTCCCCGCTCTCTCTGGCTTGCATCCGGCACAAGAGTAACTGAGTAACACACACACACACAAATAGTAAGGATATATCATATATCCTAGCTACACGCACTAAGAACATTGTTGGTGACTCATATGTGGGGGGGCGCTGCTCAAGCTGCAGCGCCTAAGCCGTCATTGGGGCGCCGTGGCAAGTGGGGCGCGTTCCTTTCCGGACGTGCTTCAAATAGTTGCTGAAGGTGTGGGTCGCTGCGAAGCACCTGGGAGCGAATCGGCCATGCCCGTTGACATTACACGTAAGGCACTATATGTAGCAAACAGTGCAACAGTGCTACCTACCATCTCTAGTCTACGACTCTTGATCATAGTCTTGAAGCTATTTTAGAAGCCAAAATGGTTCGAGGAACACTTAAATGACGCCCAGCAACGCTGCAGCAAAGCTTGCCCTGATTCTTGTAGAACGGACACCCGGAGGGATATCTTGGTTTGCATCATCGCGGCCCCAAACAAGAATCCCAGCACCAACCGAACACAAAAAGAGTCTCCGAAAGTCGTTCGAGTCATTTTGAGCCAGACGCCTAGACGATTGCCCGCTCCTCTTTGAATGGTACATAGTTTGGGTCGTTCTGAGAAACGAAAAACCACCCTATCTTGACCTTCCCCATGCCCGGAGACAAGCCGATTTGTGCAGGAAGTGCTCACAATGATCCTGATTCTTGGCGTTGCTTCAAAGGGGAACCAGGAGGCTCATCGGTGTTCTTGTTTGTCTTTTTTTGGGGAGTTGAGGTCTTCACTTTTCGGGGTCCATTAAAGTGATGTCACCATGTAAATGGCGATTATTTTTCGCCAAAAGATGTTCACCTTTAGCAACCCTTTACCCACTGAAACTCAGAAGGGAAAAACAATCCTTCCCTGCAAAAAGAAGCCAGCAGCCCCCAGCCGAGGAAAGAACTTTCGTGTGGGTCTTGGAAGGGTTCGGAACAACCTTCTGTCTGTGCCACTGACGTGATCCAATCTGCCCCCCCCCCCCCAAAAAAAAAAAAAAAAAAAAAAAAAAAAAAAAAAAAAAAAAAACAAGCACCTCCCAAGAAAGCGAGCAAAAAAAAACACGACCATCTTCGGACGCATTTTGGATTTTTTCCCGCCGGCCCCCATGACGCAACCCCAGGTAAGTAGTAAGGATTGCCTTAAGAACTGGGGCCTTTCGAACTGGGCTTCCGGGCTCCTGGCACACCTCTCGCGTCAGGAGGGGGTCCGCCTGAAACGAGTTGCATTGGGTGGCAGTCAAGAGGTGTTTGGTCCTTTCTTGTTTATCAAATTTTCCGACTTCTACCAAGATAAAATCCTTTGGGTTTCCATTTTCCTGTTTGTTGTTTACGTCCATTCCAGCTACTTGTTTGAGGAACCTTTGGTATTCCAATTTCCGGCTGTGTGTGGGTGTCCAATGTCTAGCTTTTATTGGAGCATGTTGCAAGTTTCTGTGATACCCAATGTCTGGCTTTTGTTGGAACATGTTGCAAGTTTCTGTGATACCGAAGTTTGGTTCGAATCTATCATCACTTCAAAGGCGATTCTCATGGCACAGGCCAGTGCTCGGAAAAAAGAAAGAAAGAGAACTTCCGAACGAGTGGCTTGGCCAGAAAAGGTCCGAGCTGCTCCCACTAAGAAGGTCTTCCCCGACAAAATATCACATCCGATACGAAACCTCAGGAAGTGAGCCGACCATCTGGCAGATCAAATCAAAGGGATCCCTGCTTCAGGAAACGCATGCCCTTAGACTTTGTAGGGGCCGTGATTGGAATGCCAGGATCGAAGGAAGATTTTGGTCTGCGCATTTGGTTCCTCAGCTCTGAAGTCGAGAAGTGGATCCTCAAGTCAAAGAATCTATACATCATGGCCCGTTGTTCCCCCCAAACGGTCGCCGTTAAATAGGCAGATTGTTAGCTTTTCGTTGCTGTCTTTGTAGGCAAGACCTCAATTCCAACTACTCAAGACGGGTGTCCTCAAAATACGGGTCCCGTACAATGTTGTTTTTGTTCTTTTGGCTTCCTTTAAACACCAACCCAAAGAGTGTCCGAAATACCACGTTCAGAACCTCCCAAGCGCTTCACAAAGCGGGCAGCAGCAAGGGGGCACACACCCACACACATCAAACGCACGACCATCAAGGCAGTTTCAGCACTCATCAGTTTGCAGCAGGGCTGTGGGAATCTTTGTGGGAAATAACCACTTCTCTGATACCACCGAAAGGGCCTAACCCCAAAGACTCACCCGCCCCATAGGGAGGTTCCCTTGTGTCACAGTTGGATCAACCCCGAGTGATCCCAGAACCCCGCTTGGCAGGCTTTGGTCAGGTCTTCCTTCCTCTTGCGCATGCCCAGGCTGCGCCTCACACGCCCGGCACCCCGGGATGGGCGCTGTGGAGGGCCAGGAGCAGTTCATGCCCAGCAGCTCACCCTTGGACTGGAAGCGCAGCGGGTCGTGCTCGTCCTACGAGGTTTCTTGGGAACACACCTGGGCGTTGCTCAAGATATCATAGGGTGAACAGCAAAGTAGACGGAATGTCTGTAGAATGAATGATGAGGACGAAATGTGCAAGGACCCTTGCGGATGGGGTTTATCTTAAGAATTGAATAGAAGAGCTTCCTTGTTCGAGACACGCTTAACTGAGCAGCGCCCGTTCACCGATTCGATTTCGAACATGGGGTAGAAAAAGAGAAGTTCCCGTTGGCCTTGCTATACACCTCATGAAACAATAGGTAGTAGAACAGCTACCAAAAAAAAAAAAAAAAAAAAAAAAACCTAAACAGGCCGCATGGGTTTGCAAAATTGAGTTGGGCTCTGAGCTTGTCGGGCCTGAAGCTGCCTATCCAAATGGCCTTGGGGGAACACCCACTCCAAGGGGACTTCGAAGGGTTCGGCCGCTCGCCTTTCGGAAGGCTACAATAGAGCACAAGTGATGGCTCAAAATTAGAGAGCTGGATCGAGTTACGCAGGTAGTCTTTGGTTCCACTTACCAGGGCAAGCCATTTTGGTACCACTTTTTTGAGCCACGGCCAGAGCACCGGCATGCAACTCCAGTTCCCAGGCCAAGCGTCATACAAAGTCAATGAGGACCAGCGAGTCACCGTAACCTGCAAATGTTTGCGCCTGGGCGTAGCGTGTGGTAGCATGAGCCCTCTGCTTCCCTTCTACCTTGAGAAGCATCCATGGCAAAATCATCGCTTCGCACGATCGCTTCCGAAATGAATGCTGGCCTGGATCTAGCGCGCCAGTCTAGTGCAAGGGTTCCTTGCATGCCCCTATTCAACATCACCCTTTTCACAGGAAACTTCAGCCCTTGGCCGATGCTTGTGACCTACGCTGTCAGCCTAACTGGCATTTTCCTGAATATTTATTGTTTTATGTGTTCATTGCTACTTGTTTTCCGATTCGGATTAACGATTTCAATACGACTCCTGTAACATTTATGTGTTTGTTACTCTCTTTTTTTACGCATTGGACATGCACTTGAAAGCAGGGGGTGCAAACTGCCGTACTAAAACCGTAATAGAATCGGTATTCAAATCGTATTGAAATCGTATTAAAATCGCACAACTACGCTTTTAGTACAATTTTAATACGATTTCAATACGGTTTTAATACGATTTCCATTTGTTTACTTGTTTTTTGTTTAAACAAAGTCCAATTTCCTGACCCCATATCGTAAAAGAAAACGTAAAACCAGCGTAACAAAACCATGTGTTCCAATCATATCTAAATCGTATCTAAATCGCACAACAGAATAACTGGGCTTCCCGAGACTTAGCCTACACCGTGGGTCACAAGCCGATGCTTGACCCGTAAAGGGAAACAAAGGAACTGGCCGCTTGGACAATGCAGAAACCTCATATCAGTGAAATGCCCAAGAACAAGCCAGTGCGATGTTCAGATGCTTGGCTGAACTTCCCCGCTCCTCCCCACGAGCCTGTTCCTCAACCAGCCCAGGTGTGCAGCGCTGAAAACCCACCCCGAACATCGAAGCAGCCAACCTGACGCCTCCCTGTCAGTGAACCTAGTCCTGCGGAGTGAGGCTTGACTTTGAAGCACGAACAGTGAAACTTGCAAATGGCGTCTATCTGTCTGAGCCCTACTGAACCAACACATCCACATTGAAAGCTTGAATGCTTCCACTCCACTTGAGGTGCCCGAACTACCGCGAGCCGAGTGAAACAAAGAGCACGAAACACCCGCATTTCCCGCCGCATGGGCTGAATAGGCATCACTGAATGTCCCGAAAATCAAAAGTTGATCAATTTCCTGTTGGGTGCCACTGAAACGTTCGCCACTTGCGGAGGTTCCAGAAAATTTGGGAAGCGTTTTGTCCCGCGCTTCTTCCCGCCAGGGCGCCGCAGCACCGGCTTCAGCGGCGGCGCCGCGAAGCCGAGCGCCGGCACGGCGCGCAGGGCGCCCACCAGGGACGCCAGCTCCGCGCCCAGGGAGTGGCCCGTGAAGAGCCACGAGGTCGAGGGATGCCGCGCCTCACGCGGGCGAAAACGCCTCGCAATGCAGCGCGTTTAAGGGGCCGAGCCAAAAACCAAGTGCTCAAAGAAGTCAACCCGTTTGGGGGTCAATCAACGGTTTTGGGAATCTTTCTCTCTGAATCTCTACCTCTCTCTCGCTCTCTCCAGTGGATGCCAACTCAATGTTGCAAGTAGGGAACAAGGGACACCCCGTCAATCCAACCCATGCTTTGTGGTTGATTTCCTTGCAAACTTTCGGGCATTCGCCGTTTTTAAGACTGCATGACTACCGAATGACTCTCTCACGGGAAAAAAACCAAAAAAAAACACTGGAGAAAGGTATCCCCGCTAAAAAGGGACACCCCTCTGATTGATTGCTGGGGGTTTAGTGATCAGGGGTCGAGCCCTGAGTGAAGGGTGAAAGTAGGTTAAGGACATCTGGGATTCCCAAACATGGAGCAATATGAGGCAACACTTGGCATACGAATCCCTTCCGAAGGACTTGTGTAGCTTGGCTTTCCCAGGTGGCGACACATGTTTGAGCCACCCAACGGTCGATATTGAGTTATATTACGACGTGTTGGATCTCGGATCCACCTGCATTCCTACTTGGCCATCTCTATTGGGCTAGAAATAGGGCAACCCACGATGCCACTTTCTGGAGGTTCAGTTCATTTGGGCGTCTTTTTTATGGGACCCCATACATGGCGGCTTTCCGGTTGGCTTCCTCTGAAACCACAAATCCTCCAAAAAGACACGGCCATTCTTCTCCAAACACATAAGCAGGCCCAAGAAAACATAAAAACACAGCCCGAGAGCCGTTCGAAAGGCCGGAAAATAAAAGAGCCGTGGAAAAGGCCAAGTTGAGAAGTGGCGAGCCAACTGGCGTTTTGAAGTTGGGAGCCCCCGAAGGCCGAAAAAAGGTGGGCCTAAGAAGTGACACCCTGGCCCTTTCCAAACCCTGCTCTAAACCACCCCGCAAGTTAGCACTGTCAGATCCACAAATCAAAACTGGAGGTGTTGCCGAATCCACTGAGGCACTTGAAGACTCCCAGTAGCCCTGGTGCCGATCACATTTGGCCTCGAGGGGCAATTCCGGCAACTGCGAACGGGCAAGCAGCGCATACGACATGCACTGACTGTGGGTTCCAAGATGGTCAAGTAGAAGTACTTGGGCGCTCAATGCGCTCCCCATGAAATCGAGGGCGGAGCCAGCGACAATTGGCCAACAAGGATGTTGTGTCCTGCGGGTAACGTTTTGGATGCAGCATCCACCTGTGGAATCCCCCCTTAACAGTGCTAAGGGAGTGCCGAAACAGTGCAAATGGTGGAATCCCACATGGAATCCACAGGTTTAGATCTGCGCGCAAACCCAACCCGATGTCAACAAGAACTTGCGAGTTCCAAGGAGCATCGCCAGAAATTTGACAATCATATCCCCTGCTTTGGGCGTGCCTGGACTTTGCCGCTTGGATTGACAGAACCGAACAGCCAAAAAACCGTTGACACATACCAAGAACACGGACAAGCCCCTGTCGGGCTCGTCCATGAAACATTCAGGAAAAACCCGTTGAAGGGAGGTCTGGGGCTTGCACGCCTCGTCTTACGGGGCTGTGCACATGCGCCAACTGGCGGCTACTTCCCCGGTGCGACTCTGAGCCAGATTGCCCACTCAATGGCACAAGCCAATTAATGCTGCCAAACCTCTGCGAGCTCTTCTGCAAACTCCATCGCACGCGAGTAGTAGTCCAACCTGTGATGCATCCACTTGCTTAGCGGATATCTTGCGAGTGGCTAAAGCTGAGTGTTGCCCCAACGGCTCACTTCCTGAGTGGATTGGCCAATTGCAGTCTGAACATTGTGTTTTTTATTTTCTGCGTCACCTTACCCGTCCTGAGACTTTGTTAGGGACCGGGGCTATCTCTGCTCCCCCTCCTGTCTATGCCTTGCTGTAGAATAGATAGCAAGACATCGAGATTCAACCCCTCAAGGGGCCACATTCCAGGCAGTGCCCTCCTATTTGACACCAACATGGTCATCCCAAAAAGTATCAAGCTCAGGAACGGCATGCGATTACCATCCATTACCAACTTCCAGGCTGAAAGCTCCGCGCAAACCTGCAGCCTGGGCTTCAATTGACCCGATTTCGACTTAAAATCTTTACCTTGATGTCCACCAACCCATGGGGGGTGTGAGCAACTGAGTGATGGTGTATTTTTGCCTGTTCTCTCGCAGGTGTAGTAGTTTTAGGGGTGGAAACTATCTCTGCCAAGTCGTTGAGGGTGTGAGCACCGTGGTCACCCCTCTTTGCCCTTCCGGGCAGCTGATGGGTGCTGAAGTTCCCGCACAGCTCCGACAGCTTGTCTCCTCCCAGCACCTCGTTGGCGCACGCATCCGCCTGGCTTCGGGTTCTTCTGGCAGCAAATCGCCTTGACATCGAATTGGGCGCCTCAAATTTGGGCCAGTTACTCACAACCGGCCAGCCTTCGAGGATACCCTTGTAAAGGAGCTAGTTCTTTGCTCCCTGAGAAAGGAACCTCCTTTTTCGGGGCAAGCCCAAACTCGCAAACTCCCAGAAGGCAAGCCGGCATTTTGGAGCCTCACCTTGACGTCTCCGGTCCCACGAATGACAAGATGATCCATCCACGCGAAAGTTAGTCCAAAATAAATTGAAACCAACAAACAACTCCCCTTTTTGGGCTCCATGTTCATGTGGAGGGGTGTGAACCTCCTGCATGGCACGCTGAACAAAAGTGCCGCAGTCTCGTGCCTGGCCGCTGATGCCGCTGCTATTCAGGTCAGTGCCCCGGAAAGCAATGACGCCCAGGCTTCCGTCCGTCCTACGAAGAACGCCGCATCGCATGTTCTGACGCCGCATCCTAAGCCTGGCAACGCCCGAATTTGCGGACCAGACACTTCACCTCTCCAAAAAAACCAACGGGACTTACCCGCCCGGGGCGCCGACGCGCGAAGTGCGGGCCGGGGCGCTGCAGGAAGCTGAGGGCCCGCATGCCTGCCTCGGGGTTCACCTGGCTCGCAGTTTTCTGGGCTCTGAAGCAAACTCCTTTGGAGTTGCGGGGTCCCTTGAAGAAACGAGCGGCGAAGCCACGGAAAAAAACACAAACTTCTGTGTTTGACTTTTGGCCCCCGAATTTAACGGAAATTAAAGGGTGCCAGGGATTGGTTGGTTTGCTGGTTTAACCAGCAGATGCTATCAGGAAATGAGTTGGGATGTCCCAAACTGAGCCGTAACTTGTGGTTTCAAATTTTTGGGCATCCCAAATCGTTCACCAAACACTGGCTACATTCCCGCAAGCTGTGGTCCCCCCACCAAAAAATAGTACCAGACAATTCGGAAATTCTACTCTTCACCCGCCCAAGGTGGTATCCCCAGCAGCCCCTCTTTTTGAACCCTCCCTGAAAGCTGCAAACCACCCCGAACCAAGCTGATCTGGGCAGAGACCCCAGGTGAACGGAATCTCAGCGTCCCTCTGATTTGTGGTTTGGGGATTTGAACCCTTGGCTCTTGTAGAGGGTTAAGGGAAAACCACCCAAAAAAAACTCATCCAAACCACCCCTCCAAACCACCAGGCAGAGGTCACCTGCGAATCCCAGCCCCACGGGTGCCTCCGGCCCGCGGCGCCAGCCCGTGACCGTGGCGTTCTGCGCGTAGGGCCGGTAGTAGGAGCCCCAGGTCGCCGTGTAGCTGAGCCTCAGCCCAAAAGCGCGGACCTCGAAACCGAAGAGCAGCTTGGGACCCTGGGACCTTGACAGAAACCAAGTCTCGGGGTCTCGATACACCTCAAATTAATGCATGTAGAACCCCCTTTTGAAGCAGCCCGGAAAAAGGTGGTAACCACGAAATCATGGGAGAAGCCGAGAACACCCAAAGATTCAAGTTTGCTTCGCTTTGAGCTGAGAAGATCTAGATGTGTGCCACGAGGTGGATCCAGCACGCAGGCCGAGAGGAGCAAGTCGTGTACTGCTAAGTATATCCCACTGTACTAACCAGGAATGGTTCCACTTTTCGTCTGGGCCCACTTTCATACTTTCATTAAAGGACATGACCTGGTTTAGGGGGTTCCGCTTAAACTTTCAACCCATGAACGAACTCCCCACAGCGGTCCCGACGTTGGAGCCTGCATCCGGGTCCTCCAAGAACGCCCACAAAGAGCTAAAAAGTTACACACAATTTGGGGGGGGGGGGAGGGGGGAAAGGGGGGGTTGTCATGATTAGGGGGAAGGGATTACACTCATGAGTGTTCCATGGAGTAATTTGGTTCAATCTTGCCAACATTATAGCTTTCGGGCCCAGCCAAACACCGAATACCACACTTACAAGTTTCCTGTGGCACACACACACACACAGAGACAAATGAGCGACGCCTTTAGCAAAGACCCATGCATGATGCAGTTCGTTGGACGACTACTTGCTGGCATGGGGCTTCGTCATCTCTGATAGCGGCTGCACCACTCCCCAAAAGAGCTGGTCGCTTCCATCCACCAGACTTTCCTTGCCACTTTGCGGTCTCTGACTTGCAGCTGCAACGCATCGACAAAGAAAATAGCTCCCAGCAGGTGAGCGGGGCGATGGATGGCAGTGTCCTCTAGTTTCATCCATGTAGTCTTCCCAAAAAAGAGGCAATCAAGGGACTCCCGGTGACACCCGCAGTGCAGCTTGGCTTCCAAAGATGGCCATGCCACCAAGGAAAACAACGCATCCAGGAAGGCGCGCGGCATAGTTTTAAAGGCCCGCCGCGTGGAGCGTGGAAAGCCCTTCATTTAGTTGTGAAAAGTAAACAAGAACAAATAATGCTTCTTGACTCTGACCTGACATGCTCCTTGCTGTTCAGCACACGTACTGCCCAGCTAGGTATGCTGAGCCTTCATGGTTGCCAGCAAGTCAAGATTGGAAGGGCAGTCTACCTTGAGTTGGGCTTCAGAGTCTCACCCGGCTGAACATTTCCCTTCTCACTGCGGCATGGAAGAAAACAGAAAGAAGTCGAATTGGATGCAACCAAAAAACACACGCCTTCTTTCTAACAATTCTGGAAGCTCCACTTCCTTGCCAGTTGGAAAAGGGCACGCCAGCATTCAACTTGAGCGCACCTTTCAAGCGCCTCTCCCCCTGGGCTTTGGTCGCAAACGCGAGCGGCTCAAAGGCTGTCTTCGAGAGAGCCCGAGGCTTCGCGTCCGAATTCTGCCCGCTCTTGGGGCTCGGCGACCAATCCTAAGGCCATCTAAGGCCTATGTGCGGGCCCCTTTGCCCTGCTTGAACAGTTGGCTGGAACACAACCGGCAGAGGGGCCCCACACCAATGGGCCTACGCGCATCGTGAAGCACCACTTTGGCTTTCAAGGCCTCTGTACTGTGGCCTCGCACTCGCTCAATCAAGCACGTCCTAGTTGCTTCTGGCCGCGATACATACTGGGCAACACTGCAAAACGCGCAACGACACGATGATGCATAACATGAAAACATTCCATGATATTCTACATAATTTACAAAGAGAAATCGTTGATGACACTCCCAAGCCTCAGCACGCACTGCGCCAAGCTATGCCATGACCCTTTCTGACTCTTCCGTCAGGTCCCATGGCAGGCAGAAAGCAGGGCCCCAGGGGATCCCTGCTTGCAGTAATTACACGAGGATGCCCCTCGAGAACACCTGAACTTAATCAACGGCTTGGCCAAATTGGCATGAGTCAAAACAAGGGACCCCCAGCAGCATGGCTTTCATCTAAACCGGACAGGGCCCCCCAATACACACCCAATCGCGCTCTCGGCCCCGCGACCTTCGAAGACAGAAGAGCTTATGCCTCAGAGGTCCAGCGAATGAAATCTGACTGGCTCCATTGTGGCCGGCCTCTTATGTGGGAGCGCCCCTCAAAATGCCCACTTTGAGATACCCCCCACGTGCGTTGCTCGCAACGCATGTTCAATAGACGTAGTTGGACCAGTCAAGCCGCGTCTGACTTCTCCGATCTCCTGGCCGTTACTGCAGCCCAGTCCTTAGACGAGCGCAGTCAGGGTCGATGATGACCCAACTGCCTTTTGATGGCTGATTGATTGGGGATTGGGGGCGTCCCGTGTAAGAGAGAAACTCGGGTCCTTCACTTTTGGAAAGAAAACAACTATATTCCTCGAGATTGACTCATCCAGAGCTGACACCTTGTTGCCAGTTGCAACTAGATGGAAAGCTGCGTGAAGTCTCCTGGTTCCACGGATCTGAGCGCGTCGCCATGTTGTACACGTCCTCGCCGTCGCCCTCACACATATCCGGGGCATCCATTTCAGCCTGGCGGTCATTCACTTCCTGTGCAATGAGGTGCGAGCCCTGTGCGCGTGCGAAGATTGCTCACCCAGTAACTCAAGGCTCGCCTCGCGAAGGAGGCATTATTGATTCTCAGTGGTAACCCGAGCCCTGACCCAAAGCCTTTCTTCTTCTAGGAAGCATGAACCAAACGGGTCCCAAGCCAAAAGGGAAACCAAAAACGCAATTGGGTGTTTTGTGAGAAGGTCCCCGGGCGAGAATCAAATAGAGAGCTAGGTGTCAAACTTGGGGATGCCGCAGCACCAAACAAACCCTGGAAACAATTCCGAGCGAATGCAAGAAACATGCGCGTCCTCAGGCTCATCCGGATCCAGAATGTGCATGGTGGTGGAGTTGGGCTCATAGGCCTGCCCAAAAAGTCGGCGCGGTGCCCAGCCCAAGCCAAATTGTCAATTCAAAATGACTCCCCCCAAACGTCAAAGTGCACACATGTGCACACGGCTCCCTTCCCAAGGAATGCGGTCTCCCAAACAATCTGCGCGCCAAACCGTGTTGGTCCCCGTAGGAGCCAGCGAGGGGATTAAAAAAACAACAACATGAGCACCAAACGAGGCTGGCTCGGAGCTAAGCAAACAGCAAGCGGCTGGCGAGCCTTGTTCAGACTGCACAACACATGAGCCTGAACCTCAGCGCAGGAGAGGCGCTGGGAGTCCCGTGCTCGTAGCACCATCTCCCAGAAGCTTCCGGGGATGCCAAATGGCATTATCGATTCAAAGTCTCAGCAAACACGGGTCAAAACATACAAACCTGTGAATTATGATTTGTTTCACCAGCCTGAAACAAAATAATTTGGGGGCTATTCCCCATGTAAACCACCATTTGGGGTGAGTTCGGTCATGTGAAATCCTTATAATTCACCCAGATATTGCGACCGTCCCCAGGAACTTGCTTCAAGTAAGACCCGAGGCACCGGCCATTGCCAGTTGACCCCGCGACCGGAGGATCTCCTTCCGCTCAGCAGCCAAGGCCTGCGGGCACCGCACGCTTCGCGCTTCGCGCTTCGGTTCAGCAGGAAACCAAAAGGCAAACCGCTTCTTTGTGGGCGGGGGACAGTTCCCTTTCGGTCCAGAAGCCCGGATAATTCGGCTCCCAGGACGATGATGGAGGGTTGAATGTTGTCTGTGGGGGGGGGTTCTTGGTATAGTAATTTAGGGTAATCTTTTGAAATTGTTTGACAGGGAGGCCAAAGGAAACTTCTGGTGGGATTGGGGTTGTCACAACGTCGGAAGAACCAACACTACCATTTTCCTTGAGATGCTGAAAGCATACGGATACTCGGAGCCGCATGACCAGGTCGATTTAAAACCAACACAAAGCACATTCTGCTCAGAAGCTGCTCTTAAAATCTCAGGATGCGGGAAGGCCTGCTGAGGCAAGCAATCGATTGCTCCAGACCGTTTCGTGCAAGAACCAAACACTGCCCGAATCGAGTGAGCAAGTGAGCGGCCTCCTTAGGGCCTGGGATTTCGAGCCTCCTCCCCTCCTCCCCCCTCCTCCCCCTCCTCCCCCCTCTCCCCTCCCCTCCCCATTTTCTTCGGAGCAAAAAAACCACCCTCCAATGTTCCGCCGCTGGCCTCCTCTGAGGAGCTGATGTTCTGGGCTCTGTCCTGCAGCTCTTGGTCCAGCAGCTGGAACCTCGGCTTCGGACGGAGCTGGATGGCTGCAGACGCATCCCCCACTTAGCACCAAGCAAGAACTGGTCCTTCTTCGCAGTGGTCGACCCCCCAAAAAATAGACCCTCAACAAGAACCAGGCGAGGTCAAATCCCCAAACCAATCCAAACCACCAACCAACGGTGGATGTATAAGCATCCCACCCTTTTGACTTTGAAAGGAACATGTTGTCCAAACCACGACCCACGGAGCGTCAGGTTTCATGTTCATTAATGAGGGATGGTCAGAAAATCCAGGATATGATTCGCTTCCCATGGTTTCATCCATCCACAGTATAGTAACAACTTAGTGAACTTTCTAACGAATAACTTCGGAAGAGACCCCAATCTTAACCCAGGATTCATAAACCAGGTTTACTCATCCGGGGTCAGGCTATCGCACCAGGGTCGGACGAGCCACGGGGTCCGACCCGCCAGAGGAGTGGTTTAAGCAACAGATTCGCCTGCCGAAGCCTCATGCTTGGTATTTAGGTTCTCCACCAACCTTAGGGCTCAGTAGGCACTGTCATTCATTCGCATGCAGGATGTGCTCTGAATCACCGCAACCCGGCCGAAGCTCACTTGGCTGACCCACTGAACTACATAGAGGGAGCCCTGTACCGACCTCTCTGGAAATGGAGTCCTTCACTTCCTGAGTGGAGCTCAGGAAGAGCCCACGCGAGGCGTGTCGCTTTCTCGCTGCCATCCATGCTGCAAGCTCGAAGCCGCAAAATTTAGGGGGGCTTAAGGACGTGAAACTAACAGGGTAAATTTTGGGGATCTTGGGTAAACTCACTTCCTGAGTGGGTTGGCCCAAAAAATGTCCAAGTGTTTTTGTGTCCATCTAAAATGGTCTTCCCAAAAAGTATGAAGTTCAGGAACGCGGGGAGTGTGCAAAAAGGGGCCAGGATGAGAAAATCAACAGGTCAAAAAGGTCGGTTCGCTTTGGATGCTTAAGGCAAGTGAGTAGGTAGTACCCTCTGTGGTGGCGTCAAAAAAGATGCCAACCCCCAAAGCAAAGTTTTGCCTTTCCAGCATGAGCGCGCATTTCAGGTGCTTCAAAACCCTCCTGTCCACTTCCATGGAAAGTGTTTAGATGGAACCAAAATGGGACCCGTGCCTTAGCGACTCTCGGGCTTCCGGCGTGTCGGCTTGTGCCTTTCGGAGTTCCTCGCAGAGCCACATGGTTTGATTCACAGGGCCGCAACGAAAATGACATCCCGAGCCCCACAAAACACCACCCTTCCTCGCAACATGCTCCCACAAATGCGATGGTACGGTGGGACGAAATCGAGGTGCAGGATTTCGGCCATCCCAGTAGGGCAACAGTCACAAAAATTGGAAGACCGTTTTAGCGGTTGATCTAAACCTTCGTCCACTGCTAGTGACTGGGCAGCAGGCTTCACCTCAGATTCCCTTGAACACATCCTCAACAATGGATAGCATCCGAACCAAGACACGCCCATGCTAGTCCTCACATGTTTTCAGGGGTGACAGCTCTTTGCACAATGTTGTACTTGTTTGTTCTTACTTGCAACCGTTCAACCCCCAGACCTAGGATTCATCGTTCTAGTCGAGGGCAAAGATGTAAGTAACCGACTGCTTGCCTTCGTCTCAGCGCATGGATTCCGGGAAGGTCATCAGTTGCCAAAGCTCCCAGAGCCCACCACATGGATGAAGACCCGTCTTCAACCGCAGTCGCATTTAGCTTTCAATTGCAAACGTCAAGCCGTAGTTTACTTGTATAAAATAAGGTTTGAGCATCGCGACGTTGCCTCCCGGCCTTGCCGGGG